TTCAATTCCTGTAATATTTTAATAGGTAAGATTTATTATTTTTGTAAAGTAATCTTTTTTGGTCTATTATTTAAAAACAAAAATGTAATGTAATGAAATATTTATGATTATTCAGGTATAGGAATATTGGCGCTACCTTTAGGATTCAGATATGCAGGCTGGGTGATTGGTTTAACATTGTTTACGTTTTGTTTATTCGTGACGAATTATACTGCAAAAATATTAGCAAAATGTCTAAGTTTAAGAACAGGAATGAATACATATGCTGATATGGGAGCAGCAGCATTTGGTGAAAAATCAAGATTTTACATATCAGCATTGTTTTCACTGGAATTGTTAGCTTCTTCAACAGCTTTAGTAATATTATGTGGAGATTCGTTACACGCACTGTTTCCAGATACTTCAATAGTTTATCTAAAGATTTGTGCTTGGGTGGTGATGACTCCGTTGACTTTGATTGCAATTAGATACTTATCATACTTTAGTTTGATGGGTATACTGAGTGCTATCATGTTAGTCAATGTATTAATTATCGATGGTGTAAGTAAAGATGATAGACCTGGTAGTTTGGTTGTCCCGATGGAAACTTCTTTATGGCCTGACTGGAGTCATTTACCAATGAGCTTTGGTTTAATAATGGCCGGATTTACAGGTAATTAATCTATTTAATCTAGAAATTATTTAAATAATTTTATTTATTTCTTCTAATTAAATCTATAAATTAAATTTTCATTAAAAAAATCATTAGGTCATGCGGTATTTCCATCTGTATATAAAGATATGCAAAATCCAAAACAATACACTAAAATGGTTAATATAACTTATTCAGTTACTGCGCTTGTATATTTTCTAATGGCTGTTTGTGGTTATTTAATGTTTGGTGAATTGACTATGCAAGAGGTATAAATTTATTATTATTATTATTATTATTATTATTATTATTATTATTATTATTATTATTATTATTATTATTATTATTTACTAATTATTTTAAAAATATTTTTTAATAACTGTTTCTTCTCATTTAAAAATAAAAATGTTAGATTACACAAAATTTAATGTTAATACCACAGTATAACGGGCCACTTAACAAATTCATAATATGGATGGTGATTTTCAATCCATTAGCAAAATATGCATTAACATTGAATCCAATCAATCTAACGTTGGAAATCACTTATTCTTCATTTCCAAGAGTTGAATCATGGTGCAATTCGGGACGTGGTAGACGTACAGCTCTAAGACTATTTAGCAGAATAATGTTGAGTACAATAGTATTGTTTATTGCTATACAATTCCCAGGCTTTGACAGGGTTATGGGAATACTGGGTAGTTTCTTCAGTTATACCATCAGCGCCATATTTCCTTGTGTGTGTCATTTGAAACTGTTTGGTAGAAAATTAAAAACCAAATATAAGGTTGTGGATTGGTCGATTATTATAATTTGTAGTATATTAAGTCTTTTTGGAACCATTTGGGCTTTCTTGCCCAAAGACGAGTAAATTAACAATTCCTTTATTATGTAATTCTTTAAGTGGAGTGTTGGGTTTGGCGTAGGGTGTAGAACGTAGATTGTAGAAATTTAATTAGATTATTCTAAAAAAAAAATATTTATAGATTTTATTTTTAAAAAAAAAAAATGGACAATTTATTCAAAAAAAAACAAAAATTATTATTTAAAAAAATAAAAATTTTTATTATTTAAAAAAATAAATTTAATTATTTGTTTTTATTATATTACTATTAATACAATCATCATCATTCTAGTAGTAGTATTAATTAAATAAATAAAACGTCTAGATGAATATTAAATAAATTAAGGTTTGATTATTCTAAATGGATGTGCCTCAGTATTAAATACATAATCGTCTAGAGAAATTAAGTCACTTGGACTAAACAATAAATACAAATATTTCAACGTTTCAGCCAAAAAGAAACTATAAAAAAATAATACAATTAAAAATTAGATAAAAATTTCATTATAACCATGACTATTATTATATAATTATTATTATTGTACCTTTCCATGTTATCATTTTTTATAGGTTTTTCTGCATTCACATTAAGTAATCCAGAATATGCTGAATCTGTTTTACATTTTTTCTCAATTGCCTAAAAATTTCAATTAATATTTCTCTTATTAGATGTACTATTATATTAATACAATAATAAAATTATTTATTTATTTACCATCCAAATATTCCATCCCATATCTTGATATTTCTTGTCTCCTGTCACTCGATACATTACAAACAAACTTTCAATTGTCTCTAAATTGAAAAAAAAAAAAAAAGATTTTTAAAAATTCCTATAAAAAATTTTTTTCTAAATATATAATTTAATTTATCTTGCCTGGTCTTAAAAAATATCTACTATCAATGGAAGATAAATAATCATATGAAGATTGATTATCATCGCCAGTTTTGTACGGAAACATAAATTCCTCGGGACCTATTCCACTTAATGAGGTATTATAAGCCAAATAACAAGATTCAATCAAGCCTTTGGCTACTTCAAGATCCTTTGGCCTATTTAGTATTTTCGATCCTATTGCCAACATCCCTGGCACAAAACATGACTAAAATTATTTTCATGATTTATTATTGTTATTGTATAATAAAAATAAATCAATCAAGTTATTTAATTAAGTAGTTTGATTTATTAAGTAAATTTACCAAATGACCCATTTTATTAGTAAAAGTATCAAAAGCATTCAACTCTCCAATAAATAATAAATCATTTTTATCTTTTATTTGTCCCTTTTTGATCAAATGTTCGTGCATGCCGTTAATAGATTCTTCATCTTTAAGAATTTTTAAATAAATAACAATTCTTTTTTAATGAGAAAAAAAACTTTCAAGAATAAATAAATTCAACTCACACATTCTTTTATATTGATCCCTTGAACCTCCGACAAGTATATAGTCTTTTATCAAATACTTTTAAAAAAATAAAATATTATTCATACCAATGTGAAAAATTAAATTAGCCAATCAAAATGAATTTTGCAATATTTAATCTAATCATAATCATAATCATAATTATAAATCATGAATCATAAATCATAATCATTATCATTATCATTATTTTAACAAATAAATTATTATTTACCTCATAAAAACTATCTCCCGACCCGCCAAAGGACATCGAACCTAAAATATTCATATTTACTTATTAAAATTAAAAATCAAGAATTTTATATCTTATTTGATAAAACAATTACTTCGATAAAATGTTCCAGTATCTAAAAAATTATTATTGAAAATTAGTATTAAATATTTAAAGATTAATATGACAACGATCATTAACTGTCAATTAAATAATAATAATAATAAATTTTTCTTTACCAAGAGAAATCATGGTTGGATACAATCCAGGAATTTTTTTTACTGCCTTATCAAGTAAATCAACCACAGCCTGTGCCTAATATATATAAAATTGTAATGTCATCAATCTATTAGACTATGAAGATTGAATGGTAATATTATTTAATATTATTTACTTTAAAAAAATATGTGCTGTTTCCTGAAAGTTGAGACAATTTCATAAATTCAAGTTGAAGAGTTGCAACTTGAGCTAAAACTACATAAGATGATTGAGGTCTATAATTAGGATCCTTTAACCCTCTAGAAAAATTATATCATTTAATATTCAATATAATTATAAATATACCATATATATATATAAACATTAATATTTATAATAAATTTAACTACCTTTCAATATTCCAGGCATTATATGGAAGACCATGCGGACTTTTGAAAGCAGGTATCAAAGAATCACCTAATTGAATTGCTTTTCTTAAAAACATTTTGTCATTTGATAATTCATAAGCACTTAACAAACTACCCAAGTATCTAATGACAGTTTCAAATAAGCTAATTTCTGAATCACAAACAGAGAAATCAATCTTATTATCAATATAATCTCTCGCTATCTTAAATTCATCTTTTATACCCATCAACCACATTGTATCCAATGATTCCACCATAGATGCAGCCCACCCGTTGAAGTTATCTCTACTGGAATTACTAACTGGTAATATCTCATCTTTTCCCCATGCATGTTTTTTATATCCATTCCATGCGTGTAAAAACCCATCCTTCACAGATTTTCTGCGTTGCTCATTTAATGTTTCATTCTTGAAATTATATTGAATTTTTGGTAAAGTTTTAACATTTTCTAAATTAAAATCTGATCCTAACGGGTATAATTTAGGAGGGATTAGAGTTATTGTTGGTTCAGGTACTTCAAGTTCAGATTCCGTCCAATTGTTTGAAAAATTGAATATACCTGTATTATTGTCTATTTCTATCATAAAAATTAAGAATAGCACTAACAAAAAAAGTGGAAGTATTAACCGAATACGCGTATTTAAACGTATTGGAATTTGACAGTGTCTTGAGTATTTCATGGAGTTTAAAGATTGCAAATATTTTTTGAAATTCAAGGAAAAAAAGCTTTTTTCTATTAAAAATTAAATTAAACTCTCTCTACTAATTTGGAATAAAATTACACTACTCTCAATGTTACACGAGAATATTAAAAATATATTGGCGTAATAGAAAGTAAAAGAGTAAAAGGGGAAATCGAGTATTAATAATATTAATAAAATTTCCGAGATATTTTCCGTTAGTAAACAAGGCATGGATGGCAATAGAAACAATTAACAAACGTTTTAGGATTTCTACATGTAATTCATCACAAGGAGTAATTTTAGCTTAGAAACCATGTTCACTTTACTTGGTATTTTCCGTTAAAAAGTTTAAAAACCAATAAATAATAATAATAACAATTAATAATGATAATAATAATTAATTGAATCAGAGAGACCCTCAAATCTGTGTTTCCTAGATAGAAAAATCCTTATCCATCACACAAACTTAGATTAATTTTATTTATAACACAAAAGTAATATCATCCTGTGGCACGAAAAGAAGGATACAATTTTGTGTAGAGGTGACACCAAAACTTATATTATCTTTCTCTGATCACGTATCACCAATTAATAATTCTCGGTATAACGGATATGTTTGTTCCAGGAAATTTATCCGCTATTACTATTACTATACCGAGTTATCCGTAATACCTAGATATCCGTAATACCGAGTATCCGTAATAGTAAAAAATCGAATTTTTGATTAAATCATGTGATACATGTTACGTAAAAAATTAATTTTTATTTTTAATAATATGAATACAATACAGCGTTGCTCTAAAACAGTTGAGATAGAACTTCAATTTGGTATTAATAAACGAAATAAAAGGAAAGCTAATAATAGTAATATTAATAATAATAATACTATTAACAACAATAATATCAATAATATCAATAACAACAGTATAAATACGGATAATAATCACAATAATAAAATAAATAAAAAAAAGAAAATACCATCAGAAAATTGGAAAATTTGGATGGTAAATAATATCAAATATGGACAGAACATACAATTGATGTAATAGTGACATTTTGCTAACCCTTTTCTGTTTGGAAGTGTGGTTACTTTATATTAAATGTTAAATTCCATTATGGACTAACAGCCACATGGAAAGAAAGGGCGGTGAATAGTCGGCCCAACCAATCTGATATAAATCAGATATGGGGGGTAATTATTTGTTTATGTTTTTTTTATCTGTTATTTTATAAATGTAATTGATAATATAAATTTAATAAACATAATAATACAACTACATTGTTAAAAAAAAAAAAAAAAATTTTGAATAATTAATTAATTGACGATCCGTCTATGAATGGTACTAGTACTAGTACATAATGATCGGCGGAAAATTGACACAAAAATGACCAATCCGATAACTTTGCACGAAAAGTTGTATTATACTTTTGTTCCATTACATATTTTTTTTACAATATATATATGTAAAAAATCTCAAATATTATTGATATATAATTTTTTTGTTCATTGTATTTAAAGGAAAAAAGCTTATAATGGGGGATGTAGAATTTTTTGGTCCTGTTTGATATATTGAATAGACAGAATTATAATAATAATAATACTTTGTAATAAACAATTGCCTAAACAATTTATTTTACCATAGATTTGAAGTAAGTTGATTAGCTTTGATGCATATAGTCTTAATTTTGTGAATTATATAAAATTTATTTTGAATTAATTTTATTAATAGAAAAGCTTATATTTCCAGGAAATTATTGTATAACTAATTATTAGTAAAAATTATAATAAGAATAGAAGCTTTTTTATTGGAAATATTTGTTATTATTAAACATATATATTTTTATATATTTTTTTAGCATATGTTTTTTTATTGATTTTTTTAGAGATTTTTTTTGAATTTCCAAAAAATAAAAAAAAAAGAATTAAATTAATTGAAGAAACTTTTTAACATTAGGAGAACATGTTATTTGGTATGTTATTTCACACATCCATTGGTTAAGTTTTCCAGGGTAATGGTCATTTAGCATGTTTATTTTTACTTATTTACTTAATGATTTTTAAAGATTTCTTTTCAAAAAAAAAGTTCAATTAATTGAAACACCTTTTTAACATTAGGCGAATATGTTATTTGGTATGTTATTTCACACATCCATTGATTAATTTGCCAGAGTAATGGTTACCTAGCATACTTATTTTTACTTAATTGATTTTTTTGGAAAATTTTCAAAAAAAAAATTTCAATTAATTGAAGAGCCTTTTTAATGTTAGATGAACATGTTATTTCACACATCTATTGTTAAATTGCCAGGATAATAATCATTTAGTATACGTTTATTTTTATTGATTTAAAAATTTAATCAACAATCTGTCTGTGAATGATGACTAGTTAAATGAAAAGTATAATATACTACTATCCCACTAGTACTAGATAAAATTTTTTTAAATGTAGCAAGTCCATAATATTATTGATATATAAATTTTTTTTTCTTTTTTAATAAAAACATTTTCTTATTGTGAAATTAAACACCAATATACTAACATATTTAAAGTTAAAATATGTGAAAAAAACATGAGGAATTATTCAAAATTGATTTCCAAGTATATATGCTATATAAAATATATAAAATGGTTGGCGGTTGATTTTACAAGTGTTTTCTGTTGATAACCTGGTAAACAATTAACACGCAGGATTCCAATAATAAATTGAGTATCAAGATCAATATCCAATTCGCCACAAGTAAATGTGAATTTTCATTTAAATTATTTGTTTTATTAGACAATCTTTGATCAATGTTTAAATATTTACAATTAATATGGTATTCTTTATCCTCGGCACCCTTTATCCACTCTTTGACTTTTTTTATCTCAATACAACCATTTCATTTATATTTTTAATTTTTGACATCATGCCAATCGGGTAGATATTTAAAGCATTTATACGTAAATTTTGAATTGAAAATTTAGTTTTCTTCACTGAGGCAAAGATTATATTATTATTATAAATTTATTATGATTTTTTTCATTTAATAGTATAAAATTTAATCATAAAAGTTCAGTTAAATTGACTTTTCATAAATTGCACAAATAGTAGTCAATTTAAAATTCAAAGAATTTGTTTGAAATAATATTATCAATCATATTTATATACACGTACTTTAAAATTTCTTTACTTGAAAAATGTTGCGCACAGCAAAGATTTCGGACAACCTGTGTTATCAATTTACGTAAAAATGTACATAATAATAATAATAATAATAATAATAAATATACAAAAAACCATATCAGATTGTGGCCTAGATTCTGTAGAATATGCAAAGTTCCTTGTTTCAGATCTTCTGTATCATTTTATTTACTACAAATAAAGGAAATTTGGTTATGTAATTCAAAATAATGACTCCAAGGATTTCCCTCGATCACTTTTTTTAGAAATAAACAATAACATTTGATCTGTTTTAAAAAATATATTTATAAATCCAGGTCGTAAATAGGAATTTCAATGATTTTATTTGATCCATTTTTAGTAATTCACCTTAGAAATAAATAGTGTATCTGTTTGCCTGTTTAGTATGATAAAAAAAATATGATCATCAAATAGCAATATTAATATTCTTATTACCGATATTGGGAAAATAAAATGGCGGTTTTTTTCTCCCTGTCATTATATATATAGCAAATCGGCTGATACATCATATTTGATTTAAAGGATTGAAATTAGTGATCGTGAAGAATAACTAAAAATTTAATTCCAAACAATTTGAAAAAAAAACAAAATTCACTTTTAATTTGAAAAAGAAATCGATTGAACAATCAAAATGAAATTCAATATCTCTCTTCTCTTCTTTATTATCTTTGCTATTGTTGCTTTAGCAAGACCAATTGATCAAATTGACCATAGTCTGGAGGAACGTAAGTATTTCATTTATTGTTACTATTGTAGTTAATATCATTGAAAAAATATTAATTGTTGATTTTCATTTTTCTTTAAATAATGAATAGGTGGTAAGTATTTTCATCATTGTAGTTATTATGACCAATATCGTTGCTTTTGAAAAAAATATTAACTGTTTGATTTTCATTTTATTTTAAATAATAATAAACAGGGAGTAAGTATTTTTTTAATCATTATTATTATTATTATGATCAATATCATTGCTTTTGAAAAAAATATTAATTGCTAATTTTTATTTTGCTTTAAATAATAAACAGTGAGTAAGTATTTTAATCGTTAACATTATTACAGTCAATATTATTTGAAAAAATATTAATTGTTAATTTACATTTTATTTTAAATAATTAATAGGATGTAAGTATTTTTATTACTATTAATAGCCTATTATTTTTGAATAATATTAACTTTTGTTTTTCATTTTATAAATAGGGTCATTGTAAGTATTTTTTATCATTATTATTGCAGTCAATATTATTGTTTTTGAAAAAATATTAACTGTTGATTTTCATAAGAGACAACTCCACAACAGATGAAAAATAGTGTAAACCCGGTTTTTATGGCATTCTCTGATAAACATTTTGGCAATACAATTATCTTTTATTTATTATTTTGATAGTTTTATCACTCAATTCCAAAAAAAAATACATGTATTTTTGATTTTTATTTTTCATATTATATTTATATTATTTATATTGTTTTAGAATAAACAAGATATTGCAATAGGCAAGTATCACCAAGCCTACTTTATATATAGCAAATAACATTTTACATTAAAGTTTTCAATCCATCACGATTGGTTACTTCCAATCTCTTATACTCAATTAAAGCACTTTTGAATATTTTATTTGAAAAAAATCATATTTCAGGATGTTCAAGTTTTCCAAGGAGCTTGCTCTACTCATGCTTGACCTTCGGCAAATTTGTTCTCATGTGAACAGTCAGTGAGACATT